TTCCCTTAATCAGCAATTTATTTATTTCCTGTTTAATGTTTAATATGTTGTTCTCTGTATTTTTTTCTTTGTTTTCTGTTTATTGTTGTTGCCGAGTTGGTGTTGTTAAGCATTGGGGGCAATGCTTAGAATAAGTTTGGGGGAGTAATGTAGTAGTAGTTAGTTTGTGGTTAGGTCGGTCAATGTCAGGACAGTGCCATTTAGGTCCATTAGGTTCATGTCTAGATTGACTCTGTAAAATATCTCTCAAAAAAAAAAATGAAAATCTTCTAAGGAGCTGTCAACAGTCTAGGATGATAATGGTTTTGAAAAACAATTTTGCTAAACCACTTTTTGATCACTTTTTGATACTGAATCTGATGCATGAAAGAAGAATGGCTGACACTCACTCACACACATGAACAATGCCACTCGTGGAAGTGACTGCCCAGAACATAAATCTTAAAATTTGGCATGACTAATCCACTGTTGTGAGCTGTGTCTAGTTCTGAGCTACAATTAGATGAGAAATGCCGTAAATCTGAGACTTCCTTTGTGGTACCCATTCACAGCCTGCTTGCTCATTCAAAAAAAAAAAAAAAAAAATTAGGGAATGGATCAACTGAAACCTTAGGGGTAACAGCAAGGAACCACCACAAAAAGTTCCAAACTGTTGGAGTAATAAGGGTTGAGGTATAAGGCAGTGGAGAGATAAGGTTGAATAACACCCCTGTAGGTTGGTCCATTTACATCCCATTCTCAAAAAAAAAATAAATAAATAAAGCATAAAGGCTGTGCAGGAACTCCAGGATTGAAGTCTCAGTAGGTAAATCGAGTCAAGTAACTTGGGCAAGACCAGATCACAAGAATAACCACCAAAAGTTTAACCGGTTAACTTAGAATGGATTGGTAGGTTTGGCATGAACAAACACTTGTGGCATATGCATTCTAATTCCCTGTGAAGGTCGGTTGTTTGACTCTGGATTGCAGAAAGATTTGGTATCCTTAAATGTATGTTTTCTTCACTTGAATCTGAGACAGAAAGTTGACAACACCTATCTAGTTGTGTTTAAGGTTTTTTCTTGTTTAGTGTCACTTACCTGAGTGGGAATCCTCACTCAGGGGAGTAAGTCAATCTTCAATCATTGTGACAATATTGTCTTCCCTCTTTGTTATGTGCAATTCTGAAAGTGCCAACAAGAGTTTAGTGTTTTGCTTGAGGACAAGCAATTCTTCCAGTTTGGGGGAGTTGATAATGGCTAAATTGTTACATAAAAGCATCACAATTAACTTTGTATTTGATGAACAATTGGGGGTATTTCCTAGCATTGATACAATTTACTTAGCTCATTTTCATGTTATTGTTAGGAAAGGACTGGATCGAATAATTGCTGAAAATTGGAAGCCAAAGGAGTAATTTACGGGCTGCTGAGGCAAGGTTGCTGAGCTGGACGAAGAAGAAGGCCCTTAGACAAGAAGCATCTTGTCATTAATGACCTTGCCTCCTCCTAGAGGCATGCTTGTCCCCCAGCCGCAATCTCAGCAACCACTGCTGATCAATGAGAGCAAAACGGCCACTGCTGGAAGAGAGAAAAGGAACGGCCAAGTTAGATTGCAGGCTCAAGACATTGGAAGGATTAAACAACTCTAAGCATGGGGAGGTTCTCATGATGAAGACACCGGTTGCAAGGCACTATAAAAGAGGGAACTGCACTCTCACATAGGGGATCCATCTCTCAATCTTTGGTTACCCCTTCAGTTGCTAAAAACACTCAGAAAAACTCCAGGTAGAAGGCAAGAAAGAAGAAGAAGCAGCAACAACTCAGTGAGGAAGCCAAGTTTAAGAATAGCTACCCAGTTTCTTCTTCAGTTCCACAAGTGGACCCCTTCACTCCCAGGAGTGACTCAGAAACTGCACAAGCTTTCTCCTCATCTCTTGACTGTTAGCTTGAATTTTGTTTACTATGCATACTTCTATGATGTCTTTCGATGTAGTAGACGTAGCATTAATCTGTATAAGTAGCTAAACAGTTCCCAGGGGTTATTCTCCTCAACTGATGTTGTAGTTGTCAAAGCACTGGTTCTGTTCCTTGTTTTATAGTTGAAAGTTTTTCTACATTCATTTACTTGATCACTAAATTGAATGCATGCTAGAACTGAGGGAGATCTGGAAGGATAAACTTGGTTTGGATTGTTTCAACTTTAACTTATGACATAGAGGTAACAGTCTATGGTTTTAACTAAGATAGGAATATACTTAGTTAACATAAGCATTCTTGAAGGCCTAAGAACTTAATGACTTTGTAGCTGAATTAATCATTGGAAAATAGGTTGTTAAGGTTGCAAAGATGACTCTAGGAAAAATGGGAACTGACTTAGAGTTATAAGTGAGCTGAATGAACAAGAACTCAACCATTACAATGCTAATAGAACAACTACAACAGTAGGAGAGGAGAAGAACACCCCTGGCCTCCATTCCCCTGAGTGACTGTTTTCATTCTCCTGAGTGACACCTTGTTGACTGACAGTTTTTCTTTACAACAAATTTGGTAATTAGTTGTCCTCGTGGGATCGACCTAGCTTCCATTATCTACAAAACTCATAATCCAAGCTAGTAATATTTATCTGTTTTTTTGCTGAACTCGGCAAGCACCAGTTGGATCTGGAGGAGGAACTTGCTGATTAGGCTGTGGCCCTCTGTCCAGGGATTGCTGGGTAGGCTGCTGCGAGTTATTCCTTTGTTGCCAAGTGTTTCCTCGATTATCTCCTCGAGGGCCGCATATATTCCGTTTAGGGAAATTACAGGGTGCCGCGAACTTCCCTCCCTTTTCTTGAGGAGTAACTTGTGTGTTTTGTACATACTGCTGAAACTTTCCGGATTTGACTCCGGCTTCAATTTCCCGCTTGAGTTCCCTGCAATCTTCTGTATCATGCCCGTGGTCTTTATGGTATTCACAGTACTGACTCGTGGACATATTTGGGTTGTGAGCTAATGGTTTTGGAATGGGGAACTCGTCCTTGTGAATCTGAAGTATTTCTCGTCGAGGCTTCAACAACGGGGTTAAGGTCCTGTCGAGTCTAGACAAGGGCGGTTTACTCTCCGTTGTCGACTTGTACCTATCCCTTCTCCCTCGATCTCCTACAAGCTAGAAGGATTCTTGCGGTCACTTAAGTGTATGTTCACGCTGGATATAGCTTTCCACTGTGGCCCACATCTCCTGTGTGTTTCAAGGAGGTCTGGTGGTCAACTTCACTTGCAGGTGAGCAGACTTTCCCCATGGGTTGAGGCCTTGGATAAATCCGTTTTGGACATCTCTGTCATCGAGGTAATCTACTTGGAGAGATTCTCGAGTAAAACGGCGATGGAAATCCGAGAGACTCTCTTTCTGTCCTTGCTTGATCGACGCCAAGTCAATTGACATTTTTGTAATTTGCTTGCTGGGGAAGAAGCGTGCGGCTAGTTTCATTGAAAAGTCCTCGAAACTGTTAATGCTTCTTTCCGGTAACTGTCCAAACCATCATTGTGCTTGTCCATCGAGGAAGGATTGTAGGGCTTTGGCCATGAAGTCGAGAGACGCATTCCGAATTCTCATGACCAGTACATACTTGTGCGAAAATTGCTATGGATCAGTGTCTCCCGAGTAGTTGACGAAGTCTTTTGGAAAGTCAAAGTCTCGAGGTTTCGAACAGTCTCGAATCCGTGGACAAAAGGACTCTTATCCACAATCATTCCTATCATTCTTCTCATCGAGTCGCGGATGGACGGATCTTTGTAGCCTTGGTTCTCTCGTTGTCGAGCAAATTGGGGCTCTTCAGGATATGGAACGTCGTACCTCTAATGACCATAAGGTAGGTATCCTGAGTTGTGGTGAGTATCACGGTGATCGTGATAAGACTTCTCCGGATGAGCTTTAGGCCTCAGTCGAGAGTGAACGTTACCTCTTGGAAGGGAGTCTCAATTCCTTCTCGACAACTCCTCGACACTGGGTGATCGTGTGCTAGGCTGGCGGTGAGACTATTTTTTCTGTTCATGTTATTTTGCAAATTGCTCAATTGCTGCATAAACCACCGAATTTGTTTGCTCGAGAGCGTCCCAAAAGGTATCACCAGGGGTTTCGGAGAGCTCAACGCAAGAAGTTTCGCGATTGCGGGCTTCCTTGTGAAACTCTTCTCCCCCTTCACCCGGGACTTTTCGTTTTCATGGTCTCACCTCAAGGAGGTCTAACGTCCTCATCGTCTCCTTCTCCTCGACCAGATCTTCCAGCTCTTGATCTGTGGGATCGGGGAGGCCAAGCAAGCAACAATGTCGCTGTTTTTGGTATAGATAAGGAACTTTGTGATGGGTTTCTGAATCTCCCTCCCCCTCACCTCCATGACTAGTTGGCTTTGTGGGGTTTTCTTTCTTTTCGACTGCTGGTCGTTTCTCTTCCGCTTCTGCCTCTCCTGGAATCCCGCTAGGGTTTCATCATCATTGGGACTTTCACGCCTATCGGTTGATGCGGTACTGGATTGAGGATTGTCGATTATAGCCATCCTGTCTTAGAAAAAATCCTAGCTTGGAGTGGTGGCAGTGGATCGAAAAGGTTCTGAAAGCTTGGGAAAGCTTTGTGACACAAACCCTAATTTTTTGGTCCCATCGGGCGTGCCACTTGACGATGCTTGGAATTGCACCTCCGTCTTGGTGGTGGAACTCTGATTAGGATTTCCTATAAAACAGAGTCTCGGGGCCTCTCGAGGGTAGACAATCAGAAGCTTAAGTCAGAAAACAGGGTTGCGAAATAATGTGTATATGTGAATTGGTGCTAGAGATAGTGTACATCAATTGTGGAGCAATCATCCCTATTTATAGGCCTTAAAAGTATCCGAATATTATTAGGTTTAGTAATATTAAATCGCCGACTTCACAGTCGGTTGGACCTTAGACAGGGTGATTGGGCCGATCCATGTCCAGTGGTGGATATGGACTCGTCACTAGTTGCTGCAAATGCTTCACATTGATGAGAAGATGGTGATTCAGCTACCTATTTTTTAGCAGGTATGTCAATAGTGTTGTTCAACTCCTCAAGGAACTTAAACATTAGCTGAAGGTTGATTGAAAATCGAACATATTGAAACCGTTGATGTCTTATCCATTTTGCTGAAAATAGATACATAACACTCAAAAAATCAAGTTTTCCGCTCTGATTTGTACAACAATTCAGAGAATGGCTTTCTTGCAGCCTTTAACTTTTCTTTATGTTAAACGTATGATGTTGAATTTGTTATAGAAAATCACTAGATAATACTCCCTCGTCCCAAAATTATTGTCCAGTTGGGGTATCTTGATGTCCAAATAAAATACCCTAACTGGACAATAATTTTGAGACGGAGTAATGTTCTACAACTTTGCAAACGGTTAGGAAATTCACGTATTGTTAGAGATAATACTCACCTATTTTCAGAGAGAATACTATCTGTCTATCCTTTAAAATTCTACCTTATATGTTGAAATTACGAGGAGGAAGATCTTTTCGGGTCCTCATATTTCACACTGGGCATAATTAGAACTCCGGCTCAAACTCAGATTTAGGCTGTGCAGCTATGTGTAAATTTACATTAGGAAGAGGAGAATAATATTCACATGTCAAGGTGGTTGAATTAAGCAAATTTAGTACACAATAGAATAGCTCGGCACTATGGGAATCTTCCCTTGAAGTGACAACTAATCAACATGCCATACGAAAAGTTTAAAACACGATCAGTTTCTTCGTCTAAATCCAGGAAGCATAATCTTGCTTCTTCCATTCTTCTTCACTAAACACTGTCATCCTGCTTCTTCCATTCTTAAACACTGTCTTCAGATCCTTCATCTTCTTTTCCATCTTCATTACCTTCATCATCATCATCATCATCACCAACAGTAACAACTTCGAGGAAGTCATTTCCCAATTCTCGATGTCCTTTGAGAACGTCCCTTGCTGATCTTGAGGCTCTGGGACACAAGCGCATATCTATCTTCTTCAAGGTAGGAATGTATCCCAAACCAGATGGAATCCTATTAAGAGCAAAACATTCCCTCACTATAAGTTTTTCTTTATTGGGGAATGACTCATTTTGGACAGTCCATTCTTCAACATCCATGCAATAGAGTTCTAAAAACTTAAGCTTCAAGAATTCAACCATCTTCCACATCCCACCATCTTCCTGAAAATGCATGATACTTTAATTTGAGAACCTCAAGATTAGGAAGCTGCCCTATTGTTGATATGAGACTCCATTGCAGGTTCAACCATTTCAGTGTCAATTTTCTGAGACTACAAGGAAAATGAAAAGCTGGAAACTGATATAGTTTATTGCCAAATTCTACTTCTCTACTGGCAAACACGGTCAGTGATTCAAGATTAGTCTTGCATCTCAGTTCTGGAAACTTACATGAATCATTCTCAAGAAGTCTAAACTTGAGCTTTCGGAGCCTTGGTAACCTTCTTAGGAGCTCATTCATTTCAGTTCCTGAATCAAGATTTGGTCTTGACAAAATCTCCAAGTGCTCTAGTTGGCCATATTCATGATCCTCTAAACCAATTAAATATAGCGAAGTAATGTGTACATTCCTCAAGTTTTTCATCTTCCAAAAGAATTCTGGCACAACCAGGTGATTCGAATGTTTTACAATGAAGATTTGCATATTCCATAGATTGATAATAGATTCTGGAAGCTTTGTGGCCTTGCACGAAATCGATAGGTATCTCAAATGAACCATCAATGTTAATTCGTGAGGAAAAGGACCCAGCATCTTGATGGGCTTCAAGTGCAACACATTAAGAAGTCTAAAGCTAGTAAAAATGATAGAGGGACATGGAAATTATTCTGATATGGCTTGGTTACCCAAAAGAACCAGAGAGTGAACGAAAGTACCGGCAGGTTTAGTATTAACGAACTTGTTCCATTTACCATGAATGAACAGGCAATAGTTCTCATACTTTCTTGGATCCAAGGAAGAGTGATGAAGATCATTATCATGCACGCAATGTAGAAAGTTATCCTCTCTAATTTTCAATGAGCATAGGTCATGCAGTAGATCATGGACACAACATACTTTTATGCCACCAGTGGAACTTCTCTCTGTAAGGATTACTAAATTTCGGTTAATTAGGTAAGACAAGTAATTCTCTGCAACTTCATATAAGCTCTTTTCTTCAGTTCTTGGTATTAGTCCTTCTGCAATCCACAAACTCATCAAGTTTCGGGCTCTAACAATCATACCCTCTGGAAATGCTCCAAAATAGAGGAAGAAGGGCTTCAAATGATCTGGCAAATGCCTGTAACTTAGTTGAAGGACATACATGCACCCTTCGCTAAGAACTTGTGAACTTGTACGAGATTCAATTTGCTTCCAAAAGTCCTTGTCATTGCCTTGTAGGATACCTGCAACTAATTAAAACCACCGCAAGAGGCAACCCTTTACGGTTTTTGACAGTAGTTTTACCTGTTTTTGATAGTTCATCATCAAGAAAGAAATCAATATTTTGAGATAGCTTCCCTTTCAATAGATCCCAACTTTGCTCATCAGAAAGTGGCCGAAGAGACAGGGAAATGCGATTTACCTTTGCTTGTGACACCAAGTTATGGATTCGGCTAGTAAATATGATTCGGCTTCCCTTGTTATCATCTGGGAATGCATCTTTAATTCTATCCCAAGCTTCAATGCTCCAAATGTCATCCAAAACAATGAGATATTTTTGTTGCTTCAAACTTTTTCGGACTCTGTTAGCCAAGCCACTCTCAGTACTACCGGAGTAAGATTGGCGAGCATCAACACCAGTGACATCAGTTAAAATGTCAAAGTACAACTATTTAGGCTCATAAACTTGGGAAATACAACAACATGCACGTCTACTAAAGTAATAAACAATAGATGGATCATTGTACACTTTTTTGGCAACAGTGGTCTTACCGAGGCCCGGCATACTTGCAATGGGGACAATGTGAAGCTGTTTTGTTCCTCTTGTGAGTTTCCCAATTATTCTCCTCGACTCATCTTCCAAACCCACCACAAAGTTTCAAGGATTGAAGAAGAAGCTGCTTGCGCTGTTTGGACAGGACTGAAATGCATCTTACTTTTCCTTTCTGTCTCCAACATCTGTTTGGTATACTTCTGCATCTCAAATTTCACAAACTTAATTTCCTGAATCACATCGAAAAGTTGTGACATGTCATACCAATAGGGCAATCTATCACAAAATAGGAGCTGATGACATGGTCTGCTAGGAACATCAGTTTGATAATCTGTTTCCAAAGATCTTCTAGGTACCCTCTCTTTCCGCAGCTCCATGATGATTTCAAGGAACCGTGTAAGGGACAGGAACTCCTCATGGACTAACATAATTTGATGCTCAGAACAAGCAAATCTATTGATTACATTTCAGCATTTCCTTCAAATTCTCCAACAAGAAATTGATAAATCCCAAACTATATGTAGTTGGAAAATTGAAGTCTAATGAATTCAAAACTTGAACATAAACCTTTCTAATCTCTATCTTCACTTTGTCAATATTCTTGGAGACCAGAAATATCCCATCCTAATCCTTCTAAGTATAGGGAGAAAATGACAGATAGTACCTCATCCATAGCAGTGTCAACTAGTGTGAAAACTCCATCACCTGTATTTTCTGTTGCTTCCTCTGCTCGATCCATGAAGAAGGCAAAAATGAATACCAACCCCTCTTTCAGGATTTCAACACTATCCTTTAAAGAATCAACTAAACCTTGAAGTACAAATCAACAAGTCTGACAGCATCTTGATTGACTTGAAACTTGTCAGATCTCAAAACTCCTAACAACCTCCCTAGTATGATTGGACTGCCAGGAATAAACTTCTGCAGAAGAACAGAAAACATAGTTTCTAATCCTAGGGCCTTCATTTCATCTTTTCCTCTTAGCAAGCACAGAAAGGACACATATGCAGCATCGTGCAGAGAACTTTTCACATAATTCAAGAAATCTTCAAGGATCTGACTGTCAATACATCTTCTCCTTGCAGAGAAATAAACAAGGGTTCTGAGGACACTGATATTCCTCCCAAGAACCATGATTCGGTCTTTCACGGAAACAATAACATCAGCCTTCAAGTTAGCTAGATTCTCAATGAGACAATCAATGAATTCTAGGATCTCATCACTTGTGCAAGACATGGACTTTAAAGACCCAATAAGAAAAGCAATCATATTTGTGATATCTAGCTCAAGTTGCCCAAATCTTCTTACCAAAGTATGAGCCACAGAATCCATATTTCCAGCTCCATTGTTGTCATTGACTATTAGTAGAGTAGAAAGACCAGCTTCAAGACGAGCAATCGCATTGACCAATTTAATGTCTTTACCAGCTTCCTCACACTTTGACAGCCAGCCAACAAAAATCTTCAAGAATTTCAATTCCCGATGTAGAACTCCAACAAAACCAAATGCTATACGTAGCCTAGTGTGAGCCATCTTTGAGAAAAATGTTTTGAGTTTTAGGTCTAGTCAACCCCTTATCCCTTCGCCATTTGCAATACTTATTTGCCACCTGAGGTTTTTCGAGGAGTATTCTTTTCTTTTCATCAAAACTCACTTTTGGTCCCCCAAAATTTAGGGATAGCGAGATTGAGTCACAATAATTTTTCCAACAAAATCAGTCCCCCTTTTTCTCACCCAATTTGATCAATATAACAGAATTTTCAAAGATTTAAAGGGTCAACCATTTTCTCCATTAAGTCTTTATTTTTCATTAATTTCCTATTGAGTGGTGGGCTCATTAGTGTGACCCAGCAATATTAAAAAAAAAGAAGAAAAAACCTTTAAAAAAAACAAAGAAAAACCCCATTGCAAAAGTTGTTTTTGTTGAGCATCAAAGGTTTTTTAAAAAAAAAAAAAAGAAAAAAGAGAGAAATTGTTAGGACCTGCCGTTCAGTATGAAAATTAATAAAAAAACAAGGACATAACGGTGAAAAGTGTTGACCCATTAAGTCTTTACAAATTCTGTTAAATTGATCAAAATTAGTGACGAAAATATTATAGGAGCTTGATTTTGTTGAATGAAAGTTTTTTGTGAATCAGTCTCGGTACCCCTAAACTTTGGGGAATAAAAGTGAATTTTACCCTTCTTCAATTTTCTTCATCGAAAATATATCAACTCCCACAGAATCTCCCAAAATAGCATTAAAGGAGTCAAAATAAATCTAAGCTCCTAGGTCAATAATCTTGAAATTTAGACAATATCAATCCGTCACTTGGACAATTAACACCATCACATAAGGATTTTCATATCATCGAGGTCAATTTATAATGAGCAATTGATCGCGCATAAAAAATTTCCTCAAAAACTCCATCCATTATCAAACAAAGGTAAGTCTTTATCAAAGTTGGTCGGGCTCATCCATTATAAAGCTAATCATCAAGATCCGCTTCAATTCCAACTTTTGATAACCTCTTTTTTTGTCACGAATTTAGACTAAAGAAGAAAAAATTCCATTTTTTAATTCTCTAGCAACGTCAAAGAATACACCAAGAATAAACCAAATAGAGTCTCTCTCACAATCGGAAGATCTTAATTAAATTCGACTGATTATATGAAAAGAAGTAACACTCGACATTTCAGAAATGCGAACACCATTTAATTATAAATCAAAGAATATTTGTCATCAAAACAGTGATGAACTGAGTCAAAACGGGTATAAGGCCTCCTGAAATAGCAAAATGAATTTCTCCATTTTTGTGAGCTGGAATAGAGTGGAGAGTTGGATCAACAAATCAAACATTAAAAAAAAAAAGATTCCATTTTGAACCGATTTGAAAGGATCAAAACTGAACCAAAATTTCAGCTTTTCAACCATTTTAGAATGTTTCCAAATTTTTCGAGAGAATGTGGCTTACCTACCATTCCGCCAATGGTGTTATCTTTTAATAAAGGATTTCAGCATAACCATATAACCGAACTTTTTTCTTGAGTCAACTCATGCAATTGAAATTATCATACGCATCAAAGTGATGTCAAATGTGAATAAAGAAAAACGTACCATATTTAGGCACATTTTTAAGGAAAGAAACAACATTAAATTAAACTATCAGATCTGTGAAAAAATAACACTTTTGACTTATCCATTTGTCCTTCCCTCTCACATTGTGTAACCAAGACCCAAAATAACAAAGAGATTGAAAATAGGGGTAATGTATTTGCAGATAGAGAAACAGAGAGAGACAGGGGAGGAGAGGAAGGAGAGAGACAAAGAGAGAGAGGGTGATTTTCATGGTTGATAAGTTTATCATTGGATGAACACAAAGAACATGAATGCAGGATCTCCTTGATCACACCCTCTTTCTTATGATTGATTCAGTTTTTCCCCCCTTCTTTCTTGATCACACGTGTTAGCTTGATCATCCATAACAACATTAACTTGTATTTACATTTATGGAAAGTTTTAGAAAGGCATATGGGGCGCTTAAGGACTCTACCAAAGTTGGCCTTGCTAAGGTCAATAGCGATTTCAAGGTACCTATCTCATCTCTCACTTTGCATGTAATGTAGAAAACTATGTTTAGTATGCATGAGATTTATAATTTGGTGTCTGATTTTTTATGATATGTTTGTTGTTGAGAAAAGGATTTGGATATTGCAATAGTCAAGGCCACAAACCATGTTGAATATCCACCAAAAGAACGGCATGTTAGAAGTAAGTTTCTTGTTTATTATTTATGCAAACACTATTTTTTATATAAAAAGTTAGTACTGATTTGGATTTAGCGAGGCAGATTGTGTTGGAGTTAAATAAATGATGGTTATCATTTTTTTGAATACCCAAACTTATTTACTTTCTGTTCTTTTAGAAATATTTTTCGCGACCTCGGTCTCAAGACCTAGAGCAGATGTTGGCTACTGCATTCATGCTCTTTCTAGGAGATTGGCGAAAACACGAAATTGGATTGTAAGACTATTTTTTTCACTAGGTTTTCTTGTTTATCTTTGATGCTTCCTGCTTTACTCTCTTGTTAAATTGTCACTATTAGTCATTGTTAAATTTTTAAGAAGTATTTGTTGCAACGATTCAACTGAATCGCCTATGTTTAGAAGTTAGAACATTAGCATACAAATTATGATAAGAGAAAGTGAATTTCTAGAATGTGTTGTTCTTAGAAAGTTCGATACAACATATTTCTTTCTCCTAATGGATTATTTAATTGCAGGTTGCTATAAAGATATTGATAGTCATGCATAGAACATTAAGAGAAGGAGATCCTACATTTAGAGAAGAACTGGCCAACTACTCGCATAGAGGGCAAATATTTCAATTATCAAACTTCAAAGATGATTCAAGCCCTCTTGGTAATTTTCCTTGTGCTTTTGATGCTACTTTTTCCTCTCTTATTCTCAAGCAATATTTACTCTCTTACATACTGACAGTTATCATGCAGCTTGGGATTGCTCCGCATGGATACGAACATATGCGCTCTTTCTTGAGGAAAGGCTCGAGTGTTTTAGGGCCTTAAAGTATGACATAGAGGCAGAGCGTTTAACAAAACCCGCTGCAGCAACATCAAAGGTGCGGATGCCCTTGTTAGTCTTCATATGTCCATAGAACAAAACCACTACTCAACTTTGATTTCATTTTTAACGTTAGAGCATTGTTCCAGGCACACAGTAGAACACGCCTCTTGAGTGGCCCGGAATTGCTAGAGCAACTTCCTGCATTGCAACAACTTCTGTTCCGCCTAGTTTGTTGCCATGTAAGTTTAGCAAGGAATTTTTACAGTAGCTGTTTCTCCAGTAAATACCCATGTCAACATGCTTGTTATTTTTGCAGCCTGAAGGAGCAGCTAGCCACAATTTTCTTGTTCAGTATGCATTGGCTCTGGTATGCACAATGTTTTCTCCATCACAGATAAATATTCCACTATCTTGAGCAAAACAATTCAACAAAGAGGAAAATTTATTCTTGGACAATTTCATAAGACCAAAAAAAAAAAATCAAGCATACGTCGATATATGATGAATATCTATAGAATTTTGAAGCTAAGATCAAAATTCTTTAGTTGTATACATTGAGGTTTTGCATTACTGTTTTCTAACATTGTATTTGTCATGCTTATTGTTTTAGATATTGAAGGAGAGCTTCAAAATCTATTGTGCTATCAATGACGGAATCATCAATCTTGTGGACTTGGTAAGGAACTTTTTTCTTGGTGTGCTTAATCTCATTATTAGCCAATAAAGTCAGAAATTTCATAATGAGATTTATCATAGAGCTTTTTCTTTGCTTCCAGTTCTTTGACATGCCCAAATATGATGCTGTCAAAGCTCTCAACATCTACAAGAAAGCCGGGCAACAGGTTTGCCATTGCCTTATATGTTTCAGTTTAGTTGATGCGCCTTTAATCTGAGTTTGTATTTTCCTTAACCATTTGCTCATGTGGAAACATCAATCCCTACTCTGTTGTTTTTGCAGGCTGAACATCTAGCTAACTTTTATGAATTCTGCAGAGGCTTAGATCTCGCTCGCACTTTTCAGTTTCCGATTCTAAGACAGGTTTGGTTAGCTAACATATGATTCATTGAACTAGCTACCAATACGAAAGATGACGTATTTTTCTATATACAGCCGCCTCCTTCGTTTCTCGCAACCATGGAAGAGTACATAAAAGAAGCACCGCAAATTGGTTCTATGTCAAACAAGAGGCTGGTGAGAGATTATTATTTATTTATTTATTTATTTTTGGTACAAGTGGTGAGAGATTTTTCTTTCATGCTATTAGTCAATTGGGGTGCACTTCAAACTTCTCTTTAGTTTTATATTTTCTTGTTTTCATTTTACTTCCATATTAGTGCAATGGTGCAATTGAGCACCGAATACTTTGAACTTTAATCTAGAGATCTTTGCATTTTGATCTAGAAGATATTGTGTTTTTTTCCTGTTGTTTATTTTTTCAAAGTCATCAATACAATCTTTCAGTTGCAAATCATGATTCATATAATCTTCTAATGAATTTCATTGGACGTACCATTTTTTGGCTTATAGGAGTATCGAGAGACAAATGAAGAGCCTGAAAAAATCGATGAACCTATTCCTCAAGAGCCTGAACCAGTAGTAGAGGTAGAAAAAGAAGAGAAACAAGAAGAGAATGATCAAGAAGAACCACATGATCAGAGTCTAGATGATGATCCACCTATGATATCAACTGACGAACCTGTTGATTTGCTAGTAAGACTCGTGGTCACCATAATTGTTTTCTTGTTCCTTGAGTGGTTGTCCTAATTTTTATCACAAATAATTTCTTGTTACTTTCTATAGGGTCTCAGTGCTGAAGTAAATCCGAAGGCTGCAGAACTTGAAGAAAGCAATGCACTGGCTCTTGCCATTATTCAACCTGGTTAGAAAAGTTTTTAAACTTCCCTTTAAGTTTGTGTACAAGAGTAGCTGGTTATCTATCTAATTGAAATAAGATCTTTATATGCCGCCTCTATCTGTTTTTTTTTTTTTTTTGTGATCTCTAATCTGTATATATAGATGAGGGCAACAATTAGTTGCAAATACATGAAGAACAATTTTTTGAATTCAGAAGATAAATCTGTGGATATCCACTCCAACTTATCATATTATGGTTTTATACTTTTATAGTAGTTGCATTTGGCTATGGTGTTTACGTGTTAGTTGATTTTATCTCAGGAAATCTTACGGTCTTTAATACCATTCTGCTAGCATATCTATTCTTATGTCTTTCGGATTCAATTATGATGATGCTTCTTGAACTTTTCAGGTAGTGATTCTTCACCAAATAACTTAGCTTTGGCAGAGATAGGAAAAAGTTCAGGTTGGGAACTGGCGTTGGTGGCTACGCCAAGCAACCATAATAGTAAACCACCAGAAAGAAACTTGGTAATTTATTTCTTCTATATACTGTTGCAATGTGCTTTCTTAAATACTCATTGATTCTTGCCAATCCCTACATGTAACTTTTTTATCTAAAAATTTCATTAAAAGCCGATAATTATTCTGAGAACATATAATGTACATGTTAGCATTTCTACGTAATTACTTCTTGTCGTCAAGACGCCCAGCTAGCAGGATTAGACAGTAAGGAATTTCTCTAATGCATATTTTCCTGAAGCATGAAAACTTGTACTTTCACATAAAACTATAGACTGTTTATAGGACCAACCAAAACGAAGATAACTTTTCTTCCATTATTTGGCCAAACTATGTCATATATGTGGTCCCTCGTTCGCAATAATCGTCAATTTGTGATGCATCATTTAAGATTGACTTAATTACAAGGAAAAGTGTTGGAGCAAGATGTAAAATCCTGCTATATTTATTCTAATTGCACTTTGGTTTTTACTACCTACCAACAAACAGGCTGGAGGGTTTGATAAGCTATTACTTGATAGCTTGTATGAAGATGAAGCATCCAGGAGACAACTACAGCTACAGAATGCAGGCTATAATGCAAGTTATGGATACGAAATGACAGCACAAAATCCATTCAATCAACACGATCCATTCGCAATGTCCAATGTAATTGCGCCTCCGACCAATGTTCAGATGGCAATGTTGTCTCAACAAGAGCAAATGATGCAGCAACAGCAACAACAACATAATATGATGATGATGGTACCTCACCAATATCCGAATCAATATTCACAACAACATCAGCAACACCACCAACATCAACAGATGCAATACATGGGTTCGGCTAATCCATTCGGTGATCCATTCAGCTATCCACAAAATACAATGCCACCGCATGGAAACCAAGGGCTAATTTGAGTGTCATGATAGTACAGCTACAATTTCTTTTTGATTCATTTTCTGTAGTTCTTATGTCTGCTGGAGTATTATAAGCATTGTTGACTTAATTTACATCCTGCCCTCCTTCCCAATGAACCATTTGCTGAAAATCATAATCTTCCGAGTTCACATTACTCAATAGAGGTCATTAAATTGTACTGATGACATGCCATTCCAGTAATGTAAAAAAACAAACACTTGTAGGATCAAAGAATATTTTATTCTTACATACTTGTTTCCTTTTTTTTTTTTCTTGTGTTGCCTCACATCTTTTATAATTTTCATATCTTAGTAACCTTCTCATGTTTTGTTTGTTCCATTATGAATGTTAGGCTTCTTCCAAGGTACATTGCATCAATGCTCTAATACCCACCTTTTATACTAATGGTTTGATACCTAAGGAAAATTTTGGTTGTCCAAGCCGAAAATAAATGGTAAAAATGAAATAAAATTTTTGAAGGTGAAAATCTAATACCAAGAATAATCATTTTTTTTCTGATTTAACGTCTTATAACCATCCATCACATTTTTGACATTCAAACATATCATAAATGATAGTCACGTGTTAGATATTAACAAGTGGCCAAAAGATTAAAATGAAATAGGCAAGTTATTGTCGTCAGTCAAAGAAACTTTCAAAGTACTTCATATTCAACTTGATGAACAACAAATAACCTAATAATAATGAACTAGCGAAAAAAATAATTTTTTTCATTGCAGAAATTGCAAACCTGAAAAGGTTATATTCTATTATTAATAAGCACCGCCTTATGTGTATAGTTTTTAAAATTAATAACATCGGGGATGCTCGCAAGGTACTTTCCTGAATAAAACTATATGTATGTATGTGTGTTTATAAACTATATAACATGTATGTGTGTTTATTGATACTTGTAAGGGTCTTTTTGTTAAATAGTGAAACTAGAGGAGTTTTGTATGCAATCAACTCAATTTTGAAAGTACTACTATAAATTGGTAACTCATCATCATTCATGCTTTCACAGCAGAGCAGAGAAGCAGCCTGGCGTTTATTCTGAAATACACCCAAGTTCTTAGTTTTAAAAACAATGGACGACAATTCCATTAATCCAGGTGATGAAGATGAAGTTCTTCCAGGTTCGTACGATGTTGAGTAATCAATTTCCAACAATTGAATTCTGCCCTCTTGACGTCTTTTCGAATTTCTAAGTTTCCTTTTAGCTGCTGCTCATTGTAATTATATTTTTGTGTCAATGGTCAGAGTCGCCATTCGAGGAATCGTTGCAGGAAAATGAGGTGTTTGAACGGGCAGCTCACCACCCTTCTGCGCCTCTTCATGAGGTCCGAGCAGAACCCCCCTTTTTCCTTTTCAATGTTTTTTGTAATCTATGTGGCGTTTTAGAACTTTCTACAACATTAACCTTTAACGTTTTAGCATTAGGGACTCAATTTGAGTTTGATTAGTGGAATGTGGAAGCATGAAACCGGGGGTAGTTTGGGGGAGTATTTGATTACGTTTTTCTTGTATTATTCAGTGCTGAACGTTGCTCGCAGAGTTGCTTTACTGGATAGTTTTTCGATGTTTTTGCGGTTTCTAATTTGTGATGACGGATGAAGTAGTTCGCTATAGCTTCCACTTTATGGATTATAATCAGCTTACATTAAAATTGAATAATGAACTTTATCTCAATAAGTTATCGGAAGTTTTATTTCCAAAGAAATCAGGAAGAATGGGAAAGTTTCTGTTCATTACCACATTTGTAAGCTGATGAAAGGTAGTAGTATTACAATACTGGTGATGCTGAAGAGCACCGAAATGATTACTAGCACGTCTAGAAGTCAAATATAACGAAAGTTGTTGTGGACCTTTATGTACTAAAGCTTGTGGATTCATTGCTTACAGTGAAATTGTCATCTGTTTCATGAACTAGAACTACTATTTGTCAGTACAAAACATTTTCTTCTCTACTGGAGAGGGGCGCCAGAAGAATCTTATGCAAAAGCCTTTTACATATTTAACCATGGTTTTTTTTTTTGCAAAGTACAATGCTCATGTGACAAATAATGATCAATTATTGTTGGCTTTTTTCTTCTTCTTTTTTTTTTTTTAATCTTTGACCTTTTTGGATATCTTCTAGTTTTTCTTGTTGGAAATAGAGAGTTCATTAAGATAGAGATGTGTACTGCAGTTATAGCTGCTCAGCTAGGGATACCATTCACTTTGCACTTTTGATCTGTTGCCTAATTTTCTCATTATTTTTAGAGTTTCCTGGCTTCATCAACTATTCATTGGATCTGTGCTGGACTGCAACTGCTTTGTTTGATTTATGTTGGATTTCTCATTTCCTCTGTCTTCTTCATAGCAATGAGCTGGGGTGTAATGATTAAATGTAGATTTGCAGTTCTTAATAAAGCAACCAAAAGGTTAAATTGATCTCATGTACACTTTTTCTAGTTTGACATTGCAAAAGTAGTGTCCTGCCCTTTTGACATAGCATTGAGGAAGCCAAAAATAAATATCTCAGTCTGTGAATCTGAAGTACGAATTTGTTAAATCTATATCTATAATGGACTGTTTTTGAATTTTGAACTGACATATCAACTTACCCGAGGCTTAATAGCAGCATATTTAGAGGAAACTTGGGATTACATAAGATGAGTGGGAAAGATGATATTATTCCTATGATGGGAATTTGAAAAGATAAGCCCGGATGAGAATTAGTTTGTTAATTGATTAGAATAACCCCTAAAACTGTCTTAACAATTACATCAATTGCAAGGACTGAACGATAGACATTTAGAAATAGCCCTTTGTGCTACTATCCCTTTTAGGTAAGGCAAGCACTGATTGGTAGACGCTGAACAACAGTCCTTCTGGTTCTGCACTTAGTTTCGCAAATATTGCTGAGAGTGTCATTTTAGGTAAGGATCCATAGATTCAGCCGGACTATCAGGAATAAGGCATAAGAATTACGGTGTTATGCTGTTTAAGTAGAACTCTGGAAGAGAATCCATTACAAAGGAGATGGCTTTCGAAAATTTGCATTTTTCACTTATTCCTAAATATTCCAATGCAAGAGATGGTGTTTTAAAATCTTGGATGATATTTTCTGTGATTACCTTCTGCTTTGATTTGAAACTTGTGACCTTTTTTTTTCTTTTTATGTTCTTGTTCACTTACCATGTGGCTTCTCTGTCTTTCATTCTGTTGTATTATGATGATGCCTTAAGAGATACAATTATTAAATACAGAAAATGCTTGTTGTAGCTGCTTAGTATGATTCTTGTCAAGATAATCTACCATCTGGTCTTAGTTAATTGGATTTTGTTTCTTAAAGCTTCGTCATAATATTTGATACCTACTAAACACAGCTAGCTGAGCAGATTCAAATGTTTTTCTTTTTGATAAAGAATTTTTTATGAACTTTTTTCGGTCTCAGATGTGCTTAGGTTTATTAGATTTCTTCACTACGTTTTTTCCCTTATGCTTTTCCCAAACCTTTGTAATTTTAATTTGAGGATAGAGGAAAAGGATGTTTGGAAATTCAGGAATTTACCTGGTACTATACTCAGATGTCGGTGTTGCTCGCACTATTTTCCCCCTATTTTGGGCAGCCAAGTTTCACTTAGAGGTTTCCCTATCAGAGAGAGAGCAGCTGAATCTGATTTTTATGCATCAGCACACTCTTTTAATATTACTGAAGGATTTTTCTTTTTTTTTTCCTGCTCCATTTTTTTAAATGTGCTCAATAAATCCATGATGCAGGTATTTGATATATCAACAGCGGTGGATCCAAGTTTTATAATATCCTTGATAAGAAAACTCCTACCTACAGGACAAAGCAGTCTGTCTCAGAGAATCCAAAATGATGATCTACCTGGAGATGGACCAAGTGCTGAAACTGTTGAGCAGTTCAGAGTCTCTCCGCACATCAGAGCAGATGATGTACAACTAGCATGTGGTGAACATGATATTGGATACCAAAATGGAAATGATGAACCGATATATATGGATGATGAACAGCAACATGAACAGAAAAATCTCACTTTTCCAGAAATGGAGGCTGCATGGGAAGAGCATGGATGCACTTTATGGGATCTTGCTGCTAGTGAAACTCATGCTGAACTAATGGTACACGCGCTATACCTTGACAGCTTCCCGCGGGGGGGGTGTGGGGGGTGGGCGGTGTTCGTTATGACAACATTTTTGGCTCTCAGATTCTTGTTCTTACTTGTTATAGTCTGCAAATAGTACACGCTTCCCTTAACTGTTCTCACCCCTAACTTTCAGTAGCTGCTGAATATGTCTATGCATTTGGGTGTCTTTCTCTAATTAGAAGTGCACAAGTAACCTTGGCTTTCTAAGTTTAGAGTGCTATCCATTTTAGCTTAGCAAATGTTTTTGTAAATTATGTGGTGAGTACGAGCTCAGGGGCTAAACTAACTATTACTTCTCAACAGGTGGAAAATCTTATTCTTGAAGTAATTATGGCTAACTTAAAGGTTTCTCAATCTGTCCGAATTATTGTAAGCTTTCAACTCAGTTTAAGTTGCTTTACTTGAACAATTTGGTTTACTCATTAATCAAATAGTTACTTTAGACTTTCTAAATTGCTAGGAAATAAGTCTAGGAATCATGGGAAATCTGGCTTGCCATGATGTGTCAAGGAAAAAGATGTCCGCGACAAATGGGTTGATTGAGACAGTTGTTGATAAGCTCTTTCTGAATGATTCGCGTTGCCTTTGTGAAGCATTTCGGTACTCCAATCCTTCAGCTTATACTTGAGTGTCCTTACTTCATTTTGTTAGATAATTCTTCGATTAGTTCGCTTGTCTTGGTCATTTTGTATCACACTCTTTGCTTTTTGTCTCTTCCTCCAAGCTGGTCAATTGTTTTTTTTTTTCTTCTTTTTTCTGTTCAGTATTTCTCAGCGTGATACTCTTGTTTTAACCTACTTGAAAATGTTAAGGGCAGCTATTTCATTTTCTTTCTTGGTTTGATTTCAGGATTAAAACTATTAAAATATCAATTTAAAATGAATAGCGATTTAAACCGCACACACACACACACACACACACACAGAGGATCTAATTGCAATCCGCCAAGGCTTAAATTTTGTTTGTCCTCGCAAGAATGGTATATTTATAGTACATGCAAATGGCTTTTGGAGTACTGAGCCGCTATGGATATAACTTAATTTGTTCAGGCTTCTAACGTTATCTGTTCAAGGTGGTGAAGCTGTCATCTGGGCAGAAGCATTATCATCTGAGCATGTACTGTCTCGTGTTTTGTGGGTAGTTGAGAACACCCTGAATGTGGAACTCATTGAGAAGGTATGCAGCTTTATCAGGAATCTCAAGCTCTATCGTCATCAAAATGAGATGAAAAAAATGAAATTTTGTCAGATTTGTGTTATGTTGTTTGTTTCTCCTTGATAGTTAGTTTGAATACTTATGTTTTGCTCCTTCACAACATTTGGTTTTACGAACTAAAGTGAATGAAGTTTGTATAAAATCTTAAGGGTTCGGCATGTATGCTTTTAAGAAAGAACTTCTAATGGACCAAGTAAAAGGTTTATGACCCTAAGCAAGGGGCCTCATTGGAAGACAACTGAACAAGAAAAGTGCTCTGAAATGCATCTAGAAACACTAAATCAGCTACACAGTTTTGATATATTTTGCTGGTTTGATGGTTTGGAAACAATTAGATCTGTTTGACTTTGATATCAGCCATTCCATCAAGTTGTTGTATGATGTATGCTGAGTTAGAAGAAAATTAATATTTTTCTCCTTTAGAAAGATCTTAATCTCTTACAACTTCATTCTGTCAACTCTGCTTGTTTCCTTCTTAATGGCTACATTATCTAATCATCTTCTCCCACATGCCTCTCACAATGCTAATGCTTGAAAAACTATTCAATCGTTTCACCCTTATCACCTATCATTTATTTACTTTTTGCATCTGCAGTTTTGTTTAGCTGGCTTTATTCTTCAAGTTAGATTACTCTTGATAATAAGTTTATCCATGGGAAGAAACTGCCAAGCCGATCATATTCACCTATCTAGTTTTTCTCTGGCATCGAAATATAATAATCATTGCTGGAGAAAACATGGAACTTTCCTACTCCCCATGTGTGTTCCTTTAATGCTCTATCCTCTAAATATTGTTTAGAAACGTCAGTCTGCTGCACTTACCCTTTGCTAGCTTTTCTCCCCTCAGCAACATGCAAAAGTGTTTTTTGTTAAAGCATTGTTTAGCCTGAATAGCAATTCCCTTGATGGCGTATCTACCTTCTGCTAGTTGACTGGTAAGAGGCGGCATTCTCTGTCATAACAATGTGGTATACTCCAAGGAATTGTCAACAAAATTATCCATCCTGTCTTGGTCATGCAAAAGGATCAGATATCTTCTTAAAAATGATTTCCTGGTTCTATTTGTAGGATTATTACTACAGGTTTTTGAGTCATCTATTGTTGGAAGATTTGCCATTGATTTAGTTGTTGATAAATATTTAGTAGCTAATAATTTATCAACTAATTCTCATAGTATGTTGGAAGATTCAGATTCCTGGGAAGAATGATCATTATTTTTCCTGTTCCAAATGTTACAGCATTTTCCGATCAACAGCCGACGTGTGTTTTCTTAGAATACTCTAAAATGTACTGTTTATCCATTATTTTCTTATTATTAATTCAAAATCTTGTTTCAAGCAGAGTATTGGATTTTTAACAATAGTAGGAAGTCAGCAAGATGTGGCCACTGTTCTTGTGCCACAGTTGATGAAGTTAGGCCTTTCTGGTCTCCTGATTAATCAGTTTATTCTTGCTATGAACAAACTGACAGAGAAGGGGATTCCTGAGAGGTATTTTTCTTTTATTCACTGGACTAACTCTTCAAAACTGGTTGTCCACTGATACTGTTTCACTAAAAAACTCTGATAACTTATGAATTGAGAACCAATAGTTGTTTAAACTAGTAACCAGTAGTGAAGGCAAATATTCTCTAAGCCTGGCTATTATTATTACTTTAACTTACGTGATCCCTCTTAGGCAATGCTCTCTCGACCACAATTTCTTTGTTCCTAAGAGTTTTCTGATGAGCCTCCAAGTGCTTCAGAACCATCTTTTCCTTAGTACCCCTTGAAATGGTTAAATTTATCTTGGCCACCTTCAACAGGTAAGCATTTTTACTTAGCATTAAGTGTGAATGCTGTATCAGGTATTCCATTCTTGACACAGTTCTTCAAGCTATTGAAGCTCTCTCCAGTGTCAATGAGTTCTCGTCCTCTATATGTTCTGACAAAGAACTTTTCAAGCTTCTGATCGACCTGATAAAGATACCCGATAAAGTTGAGGTAAGAAGCTACCTTTTTTTACTTATCTTCGCCACCTTTGGTGCTTAGAAGTTTATCTTTGCATATCATGCATCAATAAGTTAAAACTCACAGCATCTTACACATTTGGTGAAACATTTGATCAGTGGAACTTTATGCTTGCACCTAAGAAAGTTGTGGGGTAAAGTGCAACTTCAATGTTCCGTGGGACAGGAGCTTGGTGTGCATTTTTATATCAAAACTTAGCTTTGGGAAGTTTCCGACTTTTTCGTAACCAGCAGACTCTTCCATTTTTGGCAGTGTTTACGTTTTTTAACATTGCAGTAAAGCAACTTAAGAACACTAGCAAATTGTAAAATAACATGAATTGCCAATGTTTTTGCATTCCCAATGTTTCCTAATGAGCTTACGTGTGTGTACGCTTGCATGTGTGCTTGTGTGTGAAGTTTGAAATTGACTGACAAGGATGGTTGATGTTCAAGTATAGTAATTTAGAATAGGAACTTACTATTATATTTTTTGATTTGCTAGCTTTCCAGTATAATCTATATCACAAGGGGATAAATTAGTATCCTGAAACAGTTGGAGATATCTGCACCTGGCTCAAACTACATGGATTATTTCTTAGATTAGTAGTCCACATCACCCAAAGCTTGGGCTAAATGAGGATAGTGTGAGCGTTCAGGTTATGCTTAGGCGGCCATGAAGGACTTAAGTGGTTAGTATATGATGTTGTGAAATCTATTTTACGAGATCTAGCTTATCTTTCTTGCAGGTTGCTGATTCATGTGTTACTGCTGCAGTTTTGGTTGCAAATATTCTGACTGATTTAGAGCTTGTAGCTTCAGAACTATCACATGGTAAAGTAGGTTTGAATTATTGAAAATCTTCTTTTCTTGCAAATCAAAAGGAATTACAGTTGAAAAATTCACCATGACACTTGGTATTTTTCAGATATGGAATTTCTGGAGGGCGTATTTGACACAGTCCCTTTGGCTTCTGATGACATAGAAGCAAAAAGTGCACTCTGGAGCACTCTTGCAAGAATACTGAATTGTGTTGAAGTCAAAGAGTTGAACACATCTACCTTACATCAGTATCTGTCAATTATTGTCAAATATTCAGATATGATCGAGGAGGAGCTCTTGAATTTTCAACTAGACGAGGCAAATGAAGTCTCCCAAAGCCTTACATCTAATGGAGAAGATCTAAGTGCAAGATCTAGGGTTGTATCCTTTATTGACTTTCCATTCAGCTTCTTTTCAACATGCCTTTCCACTTCCCAATTTTCTGCATCTGCCAAGATTTTGTTGTTCTCCTTTACCTTATCTTTAGCTCAGAGGGATGTTTAATGTTCTAAGGCACTGGAAATCTTTCAAAGCTCAAGCAATGGAAACTGCCAGTCTGGAGCAAGAATTGGTAAACAAAGGAGATGTCGATAAAATGCTTTATATTTGTCGTCAATTGATCTAATGCCACAACACATCCGCTTTTACACAAGAATAGATGTTCATGTTTGCTGGCTTCTAATAGCTGTTGAAGCAGTTTTTTGGTTCTGAAAAGGAGAAAGAGATGGGACTGGTTTTTGTTTTTGTTCCCCTTGAAGTGTAGATATTCTAGAGCACAAGAATTTTACCAAGTCTTTTACTTAGAAGTTTTTGGAGTTAGTTTTTACTCCATCCGTCCTAGAAAATGATTGTCCAGTTTGAATTTTCATTTTCAGTATTACCGTTTCGAGACAAATAAAGTAGTATCAATCTCATTTTATAAGTAGTGTTATAAGATTGTGTTACATAACAAATTGCTACGGAGTACTTATTATTTTAGTGGCTTTCATCTGTTTTTTTAATAATTTATTTTAACTACTTCTCTCAATCAATTAAATATGTTATAAATATCTAATTTTACGGCAAGTATTCATAATATTAAAAAAAAATTAATTCCAAGATAACAGGTAAAAGATTACTCACTTTTTGAAATTTCTAATTAATTTGTATTGTTAGTTTCAGAATAAAAGTAAGAAAATGTTAGGATATTTTTAATACTCCCTCCGTCCCAAAAAAAATTCATATTGAGTTTTTAAATTTGTACTAAAAATAGTACAAACCTCAAAACTCAATGTGAATCATTTTTTTTAAGACAGATGGAGTATGACATACCATTGTATAAATTTAGTAAATAAAAAATTTTGGGGTTGATTTTTTTTTAAGTTAATTATTATTTCTAAAAGTGAACACTAGTCTTTTCCTAAGGCATTTCCAAAAAAAAAAAATTTTATTAAAAGAGAGCCATTAATGTTGGAAAATAATTAATGCCTAAATTATTTATTTTTTTAATTCCAAAGTGGGAATCATATTAGATTTTTTTGACGAATAATCCACTAAATAGAGGTTCATTTACTATTAAATAAGAGATATATTGTCTTACTCTTTTCTTAATAGAAATGATTATTTTATGATTGAATATTTTTTAAAATTAATAAAGAAACTGATCATGAGTTAATTTGACAAAGTCACTTAAAATAATTAGGAAAATGATATGTATAATGAAAAAAAATAGTGAAAAAAAAATAGTGAGTGATGTGGAGTATTTTTGGCCCTTAGTTTTTTGCTATTTTCTTGTTAAAATTTTATCTTTCCCTAAAAATTACATTTTATCCCTAATTAATAAATATACATATTTAGTAAGGATGGTGTATTTGTCTTTTCATTACTCACTATTTCATTTCACTGTAATTTGTCACTGTCTCTATTGCTCAAATAATTAATAGTGTTTTCCAGATTTATCATTTTATTTGTATAGTTTGATGAAATAGTTATTGGTCTAAACTGATGTGATTGTGAATGGACCGTTGGAAATGATGACAAACAATGATGATCATTATATTGATTTGATTCATCTACAATTAATGTAGTAGGCACCCGGTGCTCCTTATTTTAGGGTGCCTACTTTGTATAATATGCGCAACTCCAATTCTCTATGAATTATGAAAATGCCACCGCTCAACTTCAGTCCACATGCCACATAAAAAACATAAATATTCGATAATATATTTTTTTAACCGAAATTCCATATTTTGAAATTCACCTCGGAACCTCTGTTGCTCGCACCGATCCACTCAAACTCTAGTTTAGAAAATCAGATCTACATTTCGAAAATCCATCCGAAATTTTTGTAACAACTTTTCGGTGAACATCGGCTTTCAAATCTCTGCAAATACCATTGTTTCTGCTGCATTTTTCTGTAATTTGTAAATTTCTTTACTGAAGAATCCAGATCTAATGAATTCTTCTTCATTTCCTTTCTTATTCTTAGTTTTCTTTTAGTTTATATTTTGGTGATTTTCAATTGTTGAATTAACTCAAAAGTTTTCTCTGCAAATTTACAGTGCAAACAACACAACAACGGCTTCTACGGTGAAAAGTTACAGTGCGAACAAATGAAATACGGAGGTAATCAAAGTCGTTACCTTAAATCTTCACTCTGTAACATTAAATCCTAATTTTAAAGTACCTAGAGTTTTGTTGACATAATAGTACCTAGGGTTTTAAATAAGAATTTTGATTGTTTTTCATTTTGATTGATTGAATTTTATTTTCATTTTGGTTTTGGTATTCATTGCAACAATCGGCTGTTCCTTTTCTATATATGATTATTCATCCTGCAATACTATGATATTCTTCCTCAGACAGTCAGTTGTTCATTTTCTATATACGATTATTCATCCTATGACATTGTGAAATTCATCATGTGATAGATATATGATTGTTTATCCTGCAATATTGTGATATTCATCCTTCGACGTCAGTTGTCCATTCATTATATACAATTATTCATCCTGTAATATTGTGAGATTCATCATCTGGATGATATATCATTATTCATTCTGCATTATTGTGATATTCATCCTGCAATACTGTGATAGTCATTCTCTGACAATCAGTTGTCCATTTTCTATATACGATTATTCATTCTGTAATACTGTGAGATTCATCATCTGATAGATATGATTATTCATCCTGCAATACTGTGATATTCATCCTATGGCAATCAGTTTTTCATTTTTTATATATGATTATTCATCTTTTAATACCGTGAGATTCATCATCTGATAGTTAAAAAAGTTTTGTTGCATGACTTTTACTTTGTTACTCTTCATATTTAAGTTGTTATTCATTAGTTAGATAGCAGACTCATTATGTACGTTGTGATATTCATCAACTAAGATTTTCTTTGATGTTCATTCCATAAAAATGTTCATTTGCTAATCTTAGATAATCATTTTTTGATGTTCGTGTTCTGCTAGAAAAATCATCTTTGTTTCTCAAAAATGTTTTCCTCTTGTTAAACAGGTCATATACTCATATGGAATCAACGAAACGCATCTCTAGAATACTAATTTTGGAAAAAGTTATATTCTACAATAAGACTTTTGAATAACAGTTAGGAAGTCTTATAGTATAGTTTTGTATATTCCTCCTTTTTGTATGACAAACATTTTGGGATATTGCAATTGAATTTTGTAGTTTTGCAAAAGTGTAAATGTTATTTACACAGTTTTTTTTTTCTTTTTGCATTTTTTATCATAATTGTACAATTCATTCACTAGGACTTTGAAAGTTCATTTCATAAATCTTTATTGTTCATTTCAACTTGCAGAAAGTTCATTTGCATTAACAAATTACAGAAAGTTCATTTTGTTAATTTAGACTAATCATGTTACGTCGCCCACTAGACCCTAACCTAACTGAAATACTTAAACCCCCTAAACCCTTAAACAACTGGACCTTAACTGACACGGAAATACTTAAAACCCCTCTAAACCCTAATCACACTATGCTTTTTATTTGGTTTACATTTTTTACTAGGGTCTTGTTTATGAGACCCTAGCCTAATTGAATTAAAAACATATATAAGTTAATAATGTTACGTTACCCACTAGACCCTAACCTAATTAAAATATTTAAATCCTCCTAAACTCTTAAACAACTAGACCCTAACTGACACGGAAATATTTAAACCACTCAAAACCCTAAACCATAAACACACTATGCTTTTTATTCAGTTTACCCTAGCCTAATTGAATTAAGTTAATAATATTACGTCACACACTAAACCCTAACCTGATTGAAATACTTAAACCTTCCTAAACCCAAAACCCTAAGTCTAATTAACATAAAAGAATTTATAAATCAATCATATTGTACCCTCTTATATCCCTATGTTCATTCACATGCTTGCATTGTTCATTTCTACATTTCCATTGTTCATCATGCAATACCAAGTACATCTTATGTAACCAAATCTATTAAGACCCTCTTACACCTGCAATGTTCATTCCGACATTTTCATAGTTCAGTGCCACGGTTTGATTGTTCATCCTGCAAAACAATTAAAAATCTAAAGTTAACAAAAACGTTCAACAAACGAAAAGAAATAGCACCCTCGCAATCATGATTGGAGTGAAAATAGCGACGACAAAGTTTTTTAAGAGAAACTGAAATTTGAGGCAAAATCACACCGAAGAAGTTGAATCTAAAAAGATTAGCCGGAGAAATCAAAAGTAAAATCGCGCTAAAGAAATTGAGTATGTGAAGATTAAAATTCAAATTAGCACGAAAGTCATATGCGATCAATTACTCCATTCCACTTCGCGAATCCTATTGAAACTCGGTAGATCTAAATTTGCTTATATCAATAGGTTGAAAAAAAAAAAACAAAAGCATAACAATTAGATGAAACAATATGAAATACATAATCACCAAAAATAAATTAATCAATTGAAAACACATACCACTTCGTAAATCAGATGTGATAAAGTAGAATCCGGTATGTTTGATGAAGTTCGTCGGACGAAGGATTCAAAGATTAGGAAAATACGTCTTGAAGGAGAAGAAAGAGAGAAAGGAGAGATAAAGAAAGAAGCCCTCAAATTGCTGAATTTTTTAAGGTGCGCGTGAAAAGTTAAAAAAAAAAAAAATCAACTCCACTTTTAATCGTATGTTACACGCGCCCCTCCCAGAGCTCCCAAACTAGAGAGCTCTAGGTGCATAGTATTATTTGTGATTCACCTAATGGTTGGTTTTAATGTTTGTTATGTTAGAATCAAAGATGATGGCAGGTTGAAACAAAAATTAAAAGGATTTGAGCAAAAAGATATTTGTCAGCTTGATCAGCAGCCCAACGACAAAGCCAACGCCAAATTCCTAATTTTATAAAGATTTGAATTTTTCATACTTATCTCCTTTATTTCAGGATCTAGATGACTACATTGATCACAACTCCTAATTTCTAGGATTTGGAAGAATACTTATCTCTTCGGGATAAGATCATTTAAATCTTATCGTATTCATGGAATGATAATATTTGATATGATTCTATTTTATCTATTTTTGAGTTTGTTCGCAATAAGAAGTTTTTCCTTGATGCCTACTCTCAACCGTTGGATGAAGGATACATCAAGATTGATGGCT